GCTTGAACTTCTTCTCGGGAGACTTCTCTGGAGAAATCAATCAATCTATCAACAAATCGATCAATCAAGCAATCAATCAATTAAGCAACCAAGTAAGCAACCAAACAAGCCAGCAAGCAATCAATCAATCAATCAATCAATAGACATATAAACACATAAACACATAAACACATAAATACATAAATAAATAGACACATAAATGCATAAACACCTGAATAAATGAACGAATGAATGAATGAATGAATGAATGAATGAATGAATGAATGAATGAATGAATCCCGTGAAGAAATCTGTGTTACAAAAGCAAACATACATATACATACATTACATATCTTGATACATAAAACTAAAAGACCTTTTTGTACATATACAGTAAGTACCAAATACAGACCACTGTATAGAGTTCTTGGAAAATGGCGAGGTAACGTGGTAAATTCAGGTGCTCGTCAAAATAATAAAAGTGAAGAAACTGGCATTTTTCCGCAAGTTGGGGAATTTTTATCGAATGTTTGTATTTTGACTCAACACCTTTCATGCCCTGTAAAGAACACATTTCTGTGTGGAATTTTACTTCAAAACGTTGATTAAAGGTATAAAAGAGGTCAGTTTAAAGTTTCCACGCACTCTCAAGCTACGAAAATAACAAAACTTTGGTGGCCATTTTTTCACTAACTTTACCTCTGAAACCAGGCGACCCACACCTCCTTCAATCGCCAATATCTCCTCTTGTACTTGTATCCAAGATAAACGGATATTTTTTCATCAAAAGCAAGACAAACGGACAGGCTTGAAGATGATACCTATAACTCCATATGCCCAAAACTTGACGAGCGCCTGGTTCCACCACGACGTGTCGCAGCTATTGCTGGTCACCACGGTGCAGCCTTTGTTTCATGAGCTAAGCTTATTGTGTCTAGCTCTAGATCACACCCCAGTGACCTCCCCTTCAAACGCCGTGTTCCCGTCACTTACTGAATGCTTGAAGAATTGGAACGTGAAAGAACAACAAAAAAAACAAAAAACAAAAAAAGAACTGTTGAAAGATATTCTATATAGAGATAGTTGTTTTTTTCCTGATCTGCAGCAAGCAAGAAATTTGGCCATGATATAAATAGATAATATTATTATAA